GTTGCTATGAGTTGGTACTGACTCAATGGCACCAAACAACAACAACTAACCAACTAACAGTCCTTGAGCAAGTTAGTTGCTTCTTCACCTTTGTTTGCTCATCTATAGGATGTGTATGGTAATAAATATTCCAATTTAGGACTTTAAATTGTTTTTGTAAGAATCTGTGATGTAATAAATATAAAGGAAATTATGCATATTGATTTCAGTTTAATTCTTACTATTTTTCTCTTATGTTGCTCTTATTGTGTGCTGTTGAATGGATTCCAATTCAGCAACCCTATACAGATTAAAACTACTTCAGAGAGTTTTCTAGTTTGAAATGTTTATGGGAGGAAATCACCAGGTTTTCTCTTCTGTGGAGCTCGTGGGGAGTTTGATACTCTGATCTTATCAGGACTCCATTTTTATTTTATTGTTGTTGTGTTTCATGCAGTCTGTTCTGACTCATAGGGTTTCTGACTCATAGGGTTTCTGAGATCCACCCTTATGTTTGAACTGCTGATGTTACAGTTACCAATTTAGTGCTTATTTTACAGCACCACACCAGGAGTCTGTTATGAAATATCCTATATTAAAACAAAGATTGTTAGTCTTTACAGACAGAACATTTCTTACTCATTCAATTGTTAGTAAGTGCCTATTTCATTGAGTTCTCACAAAATAAACACACCTGCAATGTAATGATCAGGTGTTAGATTGCTAACCAAATAATCACCAGTTGGAATCTGCAAGCCACTCTGCCAGAAAAAGATGAGGTATTTTGCTCCTGTAAAGATTTAGAATCTTGGCAAACCTATCTAGGTTCACTATGAGTCAGAATCAAATCAATGACACATCACCATCATCATACTGGTTTTAAGTAATTCACAATTGATTGAGGAATCTAATAATAAAAATATCAAACCCCAAAACAACCTATTGCCATCAAATCAATTTCAAGTAATTGTGACCCTGTAGAACAGAATAGAATTTCTCCACAGATCCTTTTGGCACCAGTAAATCTTTGTGAAAGCTGATTCTTTCATTTTGTTCCTCTGAAGAGGCTGATGGGTTTGAACTTCCAAACTTTCAATTAGCAGCCCAAAGTTTAACCTAGCGAATCAGCAGAGCTCCTGATAATTCAAATGTTCCATGCTGATAACATGCTTAGCACCTCATTAGAGTTATGCACCGGAACTGATAAAGAATAGAAAAATCACTCCTGATGCACATACTGAATGTCCAAACCCCTGCTAGCACATGGATTCTGACTCACGATAATTCAGGATTTTCAAGACTGTAATCTTTATGGTGGCAAGAAGTCTATTCTATATTAGGTGAAACTCTATATTAGTCTTTGAATACATTCCACAAGATCTACTTGTCCAATGTGTAGTTGATTTCTTACAACTGCCTTTACTGGTTAGCATCATCATCCTGGTCATAATCATCTGAAAATATTGTTTTTCTTAGTATAATGAGTTTTTAAAAAATGAAAATTGCTGGAATAATGATGTCACAGAGTCTGTGTTAAGTGTGCTCCACCCCTTCCTGGCAGTATATAAAGGCTCTGGAAGAGCAGATGATATTCACGCTTCAGAATCATCCTCCTACACCTCAACTAAAACTTCACCTTTGGACACCATGTACTGCAACTACTACGGTGGCTACGGCTGTGGCTATGGCTCAGGCTATGGCTGCGGATACGGTTCCCGCTATGGCTGTGGATACGGTTCCCGCTACGGCTGTGGCTATGGCTCAGGCTATGGCTGCGGATACGGCCCCCACTATGGCTGCGGATACGGCTCCCACTATGGCTGCGGATATGGTTCCGGCTATGGCTGTGGGTATGGCTCCGGCTATGGCTGCGGATACGGCTCCGGCTCCGGCTGTGGATATGGTTCCCGGTATGGCTGTGGATACGGATGTGGATATGGCTCTGGCTATGGCTGCTTTAGCTATCGCCCATTTAGCTACAGAAAATGCTATTCTTCTTGCTGTTAGGACATCACTATCAGAGCACCATTTGGTTCTGAAATTATACTTCTTTGAGTAATCAGATTAAAGAATCTCTGTACCAGAATTTCTATCTTGAGAGAACACATGCTGTTTCCTAGAATGGCATGGCTATGTTCAGATGTTCTGTGGTATCATCTGTTTTCCAAATGTTAGTCTTTACTCCCTAAATCTCTGATTCCCTGTTACTGATTCATTGACTTTCCCTTGTTGGGAAAAATTTTATTCTGAATAAAATGGTTCTTGGCTTCTAAAAAATCTCTTTGTAGTTGCTTATGATTTATTCGTTTCTTTATTTTATGGCCTCTATTGTGGCTTCCTGATCCCTTGTGTTGTACTATAGAATAAGCACTGGACTGCTTACCAGAAAGCTGGCAGTTCAAACCCCCCAGCCACCTCGGAATCCCTATACAAGATCACTATGAGTCAGAACTGGATCAACGACACACAGCAATAACAATGGTGGCAGTGCAAGAAGCCTTGATAGTGCTGAGGGACAAGGGTTTTGGTCTACTCAGCACAAGATCCTGCACAGGAGAAAAGTGAAGTTGTATGGCCAAGCAAAGATTTACAGTTTTGATGCATGGTATAGGGTCATGATAGTCAGAAGTGTCTCTCTGGCAGTGGGTTTGGTTTCTGGGTATTATTAATTGATAGAACAATATGCTGACTGAATCTTCTTTTCTTTATTGATATATTGTTTCTAATAATGTTTGTTACACAAGTAATGTCTGCTCCATCTATTTCTCTTCCTTCCTGACCCTCCACTTTATCAAGCCTCATGTTTTTCTCCAGAGACTGGTCCCACTAGATAATATATTGGGAGTACAAGAGAAGAAATCTCACCATCCTGGCCTCTAAAGAGCATTGTAGCTCGATTTCTTCCAAAACAGATTTATTTGTTCTTCTAAGGAATATTGTGGCTGTACTTCTTCCAAAATAGAATTATTTTTTTCTTCTGATAGTCCATAGTAGTTTTAGTATTCTTCTCCAACACCATAACTCAAATGCATCTGTTCCTCTATGGTCTTCTATGGACACATGCATTTGAGGTTATTGAAAATATTATGGCTTGAGACAGTAGCACTTTAGTCCTCAAGCTGATATCTTTGCTTTTCAAGACTTTAAAGAAGTCTTGTGCAGCAGATTTGCCTAATTCAATTCATTGCTTGGTATCTTCACTACCACTTCCATGAGTGTTGCTGGTTGATCTAACAAAATGAAATCATAGACATCTTCAATCTTTAATTCATTTATTTTGATGATATTTATCAGCCCAGTGGTGAGAATTTTGGTTTTTTACATTGACATGCTACTCATACTGAAGGCTGTGGTCATTGATATTCATTGGTAAGTGTTTTAATTCCTATTCACTTTCAGCAAGCAAGGTTGTACCATCTGCATATCACAGGTTGTTAATGAGTCTTCTTCTATCAAGACCTATGTTCTTCTTCATATAATCTCTTTCTCACATTATTTGCTCAGCATAGAAATTGAATAAATGTGGTGAAAATATTATCTTGGTGCAGAGTTGTCCTGATTTTAAACCATTCAATGTTCCTTTGTTCTGTTCAAAAGGCTGCTTCTTGGTCTTGTCCAAGCTCCTCATGAGCACAATTAAGTGTTCTGGAATACTCGTTCTTATCAATGCTACTCATGGCTTGTCTGATCTGCAGAGTTGAAAGTCTTTGTAAATCAGTAAAGCCCAGATAAACATCTTACTGCTATTCCCTACTTTCAGCCAAGATCCATCTGACATCAATATCCCTCTTTCCACATCCTCATCTAAACCCTGCTAAACCTCAGGCAGTTTACTGTTGAAGTTTACATTGCAGCAGTGTTTTAATGATTTTAGGCAAAATTTTACATCCTTGTGATATTAATGCCATTGTTTGCTGATTTCCACATTCTCTTGGTCAAATCTTTTTGGAATTGACACAAATATGGATCTTTTCTAATCAATTGGCTGTGTAACTGTCTTCCATATTTCTTGGCATAGATGAGTGAGTTCCTCCAGTGTTGCATCAATTTGTTGAAATATTTCAAATTGTATTTCCTCAATTCCTGTTTCCTTGCTTTTGCCAATGCCTTCAGTAAACCTTGGACTTCTTCCTTCAGTATCATTGGCTCTTGATCATATTCTACCTCTTGAAATGGTTGAACTTCACTTGATTAAATACACAGAAATCCAATTACTTCATATGTGGAATGAAACGGTGTCAAAGCTGTATATTACCAGACAAAATAAGATGAGGGACAGATTGTGGAACAACTATCATTTGCTCATATGCATGTTCAGCTCAAAGCTGAAGAAAATTAAAACACGTCAATGAGAGCCAAAATAAAACTTTGAACATATCCTTCTTAAATTTAAAGATAATCTGAACAACACATTTGATAGATTGGACACTAATGAGGGAAGACCAGAGAGTTGTGGGATGACATAAAAATAACATACAGCAAGAAAGCAGAAGATCACTAAGAAAACAAGAAAGAATTGTCCATCAATGGAAGAGTGGATAAAAGAACTTTGGTACATGCACACAATGGCATACTATGGTATCTTGAAGAATAACAATGAAGCTTCAAAACAACTCACCACATGGATGATCCTTGAGGATATTATGCTGAGTGAAAATAGTCACAAAAGGAAAAAAATATTGCAAAAGCTTAAGTAAAGATTTCCCAGCTATAAGAAAAAGTGATTCATAGGTTGTACTGTTGTTGTTATGTGTTGTGGAGTCGGTTCCGACTCATAGTGACCCAACACAGGGTTTCCAAGGCTGTAAATCTTTATGGGAGCAGAAAGCCTCATCCTTCTCCTGCAGACAGCTGGTAGTTTCAAACAGCTGACCCTGAGGTTAGCAGCTCAATTCGAAATGACTACACTACCAGAGCTGGTTAATAAATGAAAGTTTGGGTGATGGGGAGGGCAATATACAAGGAGGAGGAGGACAATACAGAAGAAGTGCAAGGGGTAGATGAAAGAGGAGATGGGGAATAATTAGTTAACTATGCATGGGCTAAATGGGATAGAGTTAATTTGAGAGATATACACAACCTTGAAACAACAGGGCTCTGTGATACAGGGATCCAAACAAGGATGGAAAATAATGTTAAGGTATTTGAGTATCTTGTGGATATTGGTTTCCCTGACTTCTATTGTAAACTAGACATTTATGTGTGATAGAATAGAATATTGGGAAGTATGATTATAGAAAGCTTGCAAGCACTTGTTCAGCCTGTAACTGACTGGATTAGCTCAAAGGGGAATTAGAATTTGCCCAGGGAAATAAGCTTCTAGTCAAGAGTTTGTGGAGTATGGGCCCTTAAATGTAATCCTGAAACCCACTGAGTACCTTCTGAGGTGGGACATACCTCCTTGAAAAGACATGAAGAACAACTTGGAACAGCTAGAAGAACAGAAGATATTTCTTGAAAGAAAGTTACACACAAAAAAAGCAGGCTGTTTGGCTGTTAGAGTATCAACAAACTGTTTGTCTTGGAACTCTCAAGGCAAGAAGAATCAGCCCTTTGTGTTAACCCTTTTTAATACTGAAACTCAAAGGCAACACATGAGCAGTCTCACATATTCATTAGTGACCACCCTGATCTACTTGTGAGTAGAAGTGAGGGCAATACAACAAAGAAGAAATGGACAGATTTCTCCATAGGCCTCCATTGGCTTTAAAGGAGAAAGAAAAAAGGAAGAGCTGGCTGGTCTGATGTTTAGAGATGCATGTGATCTCCAGAGCACGTGGACACTGTCCTAGCTAGTGGGGTTTAGAACTGAAAGTGAAGTGACAGACTTGTTTGAGGTTTTGGGAGGTCTGCAAGAACTCCCAAACTTGCCAATAGTAGCCATTTAACATAGCTTGGATGTCTACTGGCCAGACCTTGAACAGATGAATATTAAGCATTTTGATACAGGGAATAAGTGTAAATTGCTACAACTCAATGAACTGGGCCTCTGCTTATGGATGTATTTGTTCAAACATCCAATTGAAAGGGAAGGATTTTTCATATCAAATTTCAAGTTTGCTCCCTGATTTCACTGGGTTGATAGATACGGGTAACTTAGACACTGGCTATCAAAAATGGGAGGCTATTAAGATATGAAGTGGTTAGGTTACAAGCTGTCATGAGTGTGCTTAGTTTCAGAATGAAAGGGTAAGGTAGAATTCCCAGTGACTAATTTTCTCTATTCCATATGGGTCTGGTGAAAGGATTTGGGGAGGATGGGGAAAAGACTTTATGATTTAATTGTGAGTAATTGTTATTAGGAGTAATTGTGATTGTGATAACTGTAAGTGTAGGAGTTGTGTAACTAAAAAGGGAGAGTAGTTAATCTTCTATTAGAGGAACAGAGTACCTGAGGATCAACAAAAGGGAAGAGCATGAGTAGAGCACGGGATCCTAACCAGAAGAGTGGTGACATCAGAGGCAAGGGCAGAGTCAATGACATAGAGAGAAAGAATAGCTGAAGACTCTTGGCCCATGGACTGAAAATGGCTATGTGCCTGGGGGCAGGAGACTGGCTTACAATGTGTACCCTTTGGACATTTAAATCAATATACATTTTTCTGGTTTAATGTGAACATAAAAAAAGGGGTGGGTGGGTGTAGAGGTAAATATTGCTGATTGTTGGTAAATAGAGGAGATTGTAATCATTGCAACAAAGCAAAATATGACTTATTGAATACAAAACTGATAATCTGCCTATGAACATTCACTCAAATCACAATAGAAACTTAAAAAACAAAAATGATGTCAGAAGAGACTCTGAAACTTCCTCTTGCATAGAGATGATAAAGCAAGTTGAAGAAAGACTGGAAATAAATCACTACCCAGAAAAATAAACAGTGGAACATTGCAAAATCTTCTCTGTGGAGAAAGCAGGGGGGAAATTAAATGTGGAAAGCATCATGGAGATTAAATTAATACACATCATGCATGTCTGAATACATTTTAGTGAAAATCAAATTGTC